AGTAACACCTGTGCATTTCCTGCTGCGATATCAGGACGTCAGCTGTGAGAAAAAAGCCTCTAAAGCTTCAGTTTGCATTGTGTAGATTTTCTCTGGTCTCCTGGTGAACCTTCCCACCATCATGGATTGGCTCGCTTGGCTGAAGTACTTCAGCATTCCTCGCTACGGCCTCGCAGTAAGTCCAAATTAAAAGAAGGAAGGACGTGAACAATTCCAGTACAAGTAATAGAAAGAACTATATATTTATTATTTTATGGTTCTATGTATACATATATACATATATATGTATATATATGTATTTAGTTGTGGAGAGAGGAACTTGCACATTGAATTGATACCAAAAAAAGGTTCCTCATGTGATCAAGAAGGTCCTTATATACTGTACACAACATCTGATTGATTCAACAATTATTTCAATTTATAAACAATATTTACATTGAAATAAATATTGATATTGTAGATGTGTTGGCCGATATAAACAAAATAAACACATAAATACAAAAACTTTTTATAAGGATCCTCTATTAAAGCATCAAAATGTATTCTTGATCTTGTAGTTTAACAAACTAATGTTACTCACTACTGTAGTAGTTTTTCCCAAAGCTTTACGTGTCACAGTTTTCTTAACTGCTGTCTGTCTTTCTAATTAATTTTGTGACCAAGATATGCTTTAAGTGAGACATCTTACATTTGACAAATACTGTAAATCTGTCAGAGTTCTCTGTTGTCGACAAACATGACCTTAAACATTTGACCTCAAACCTCGCATGTCTTGTTACTCATTGGCCGATCTATACACAGATATTGTAATAAGCTGATATCAACCTATATGGTAGATCAGCCACAGTGATTTATCAAGCTCTAATTAATATGTTCACGTTCTTGATCACATGCATGATGAAGATATAATACCATAGCTGTTCTAAACTACTTTCTTAGAAATGTCAAGTCAGTGTGTTTTGTCTTTGCACCTTGTTATTATTTATATTATAAGATATTGGATGTGCATACACTAACTATAGTCTTACAATAACTAACAATAACAATAACTTATCATTTATAGTGACATTTGCTGTTAACACATTTTTTGGCTTTGACAAACAGAAACACTGCAGCCTGCTACATAAACTTAACTTAACATAAACATAAACTAAATGCTGCCTAAGAGTCTAAATAAAGACCGCATTGTAGGTTGTACAGGTAAAATGTCTCATGTTCCTAAGACAATGTCGGCCTCAGAGGACTGTGAAAGCCTCCCTTATAGAGTTAATTTGCCGTCCATATATCCTCCATTGTTCAACCACAGATCAGCATACAGTCTTAGTCTAGAGTCTAATGCACTATACTTCCTTTAATCTGCTCAGCATGCATTGAATAAGCTGTCTGTGTTCAGGCCTTGAAGATCAACGAGTTTGTGGGTTTGAAATTCTGCGAGGAGGCTGTGATCCGAAACACCAACATGTCGGCTACAGTGAGCAACTGCAGCGTGAGCACGGTTGGCCCGACGTGAGTAGACCTCCGCACTGTATATGCTCTGGTTGTGTCTTACTGGTTTATACCGCCTCTGCTTCTGCTGCAGCTGCCTCCTTAAAACACATTATGACACTAAAGTTGACTTTATAAACATTTATGAACTATTAAAATCAGCTTAAATCAGCTCAAATATTGATATTTGTTCTGTAAGTGACCAGTTGGGACTTGTGTTACTTCAGATGTACAGGAGAGCAGTATCTGGACTACCTGGGAATAGAGTACACCACCTGGGGACTGTGGGAGAATCACGTGGCTTTGACCGTTATGACGTTCACGTTCCTCATCATCGCCTACCTGAAACTGCGCTACATCAAGAAATTCACTTAAATGTGTCGACTCTGCATCCTTTATTTTTCTCTCTGTGAACCAGGCCAGTAAATATTCGACCAAAAATTCACCTTTAAAGACCCAGTGTGTGCGATTTAATGGAGATTACGATGCCCTCGCCTCACTCTCCTATCTATACTTAGATATTCAGTATAGGTAAAATACTTATTAGAAAGTAATATGAGGATTTTCTCACATTGTGGAGAGAAGAGAAACGATGAGTGTCAAGATGACCACACAGTGACAGATATGGAGGATATGTGGTGTTTTTCTTACAGGTTTATATTTTAAAGTTAACTGTGGTTATTTATGAATGTTTACATTTGCTGCCTTATGTTAAAATCAGACTATGCCCTTTTTCGATTTTGAAATTGAATTTTGAAATTACACTAAACTGAACCTTTTTCACTGATTATTTGTAACTGTAGTTGTTGTAGAATTATATCACCTAGATAGTAAATATTTGTTTTTGTACTGCTCCAAAGAACATTTGTATACATACCTTTATACTCTGATACAGCTTTTTGAGAACATGTATAAACATTTGCATGTAACTTTGGTCTTATTGGTTTTTTTCAGTGTATCCACTTACAGCGTTTTAATGATGACCTATATTATTTCTTTTAAGATGAATTTTTTAATGATTATATTTAAAAGATTACACTTTACATTTTCCTAATACTTTCCAAGTTTTACAGAAAAAAACTATATAATTGGTAGTATTACATGTATATACGTTTATATTGGTACACTTTTTGCACAGTAGGCCAGCTGAACATGCATAAATGGGAAAGTCACCTATAAGTTAACATACAATTTAACATATATAAAGAATAATGTTTACAGTAATTCATGAATAATGAATACATATTTACATGTGTTGAAATGGAGCGGTTCATCCAAGGATATTTTTAAATTAATTATAAACTCAATACAGCTAAATATAGTAACTGAAATTACACAAATTTGACTACTACCACATTGCGTCGCTCTTTTAAGGAAAACTTTGATACAAATTTTAAGGATATTACCCAAAAAAATAAAGTGTTACTGAATATATTAATTGTATAGTTCAGCATTTGTACACCAGCACATGTATTTTTTAAATGTTTTGGTATTTCAGATTAAAAATTGTATTTTATTGTGTATTATTATACACCCACAAAATGCATTATTTCACTACATTTTATATCTCTCTGCAACTCTCAAAGACCTCATCTTTAATAATTGAAGTATGTGGTATAAATAATGTTAATATGTTTAAGAAAGACACATTTATAGCTGTTTTCTTGTTACTTCAAATGAGTCATAATCTGAACCAGAGAAAGCATAACAAATAAAACAAATTTATATTTTAATAACATTTTATTTTGGCAGATTAAAAAAAGAAATAGATTGTAAAAAAAAAAAGTAAGGCACAAGGAAAAAAATAATAAATGCATGGGTTTCCCATGAACACTAGATGCACTCCAAATCGAAGTTTGTTTTAAGTTACAATATGTATCATAAAATGATAATAAGCTATTTAATTTGAAGCTTCATTGATGTACAGAGGAGTAAATATGACAGAATGTGCCACACGTGTACCTACTGTATATTAAAATGATGAAAAAATAATCAGCAAAATTAACAGTCATAGAAACTTTTTTGGTATTTGTGTAAATGCTAAGATGTATGGATACAGTAATCAAAAGCAGGTGAGCATGCTTCGAATGAAATACTAAAATCATATGCTGTGTATTCTGCTGAGTACAACTGAGTATCCTTGAAGGTTGGTATATATATATTTATATATACATACTGTGATAAGTGTAATACTGTACTGTAAATCCTTCATCATTTTTCAACCTCCTTCACACGTTTTCCCTTCCTTTCATCATCCTGTTAAAGTAATACTCGATAATGGCTTTCGAAAGTTTAGTGGATACTTTAAAATGTCTCTGTGGAGAGCCTCACTCACTTTCAGTGCATTTAAATATTTGAGGTGAAGATTTTGTCACCTCCTTCTTTGTAATACTTCAAGAAATTTAAACAGCTTCAATAAGGTATCTGTTCCGCAACAAAACGCTCCCACGTCTTCAGTTACTTGTACCGCTGCCGGGAAATTTCCAATAGGGAGTTTCTTGCCAGAGTGGAATAATATTCTTCATCGAGTCCTCACACGTGGCCACTCCCATTTGTGCTTGTGTCGAGGCCGTCGGTGGACAAGGAAGAGGATGGACGGGGCCGGGGGCCGACGGGAGTGGCTGGCGGCGGGTGGCTGACCTGTGAGACCATATCATCAGACTCCCAGAGTTCCAGTTCCTCCCTCACCAGCCTCTCCATCTGCTCTCTGTGGGCGTCTGTGTCCCGTCCCAGACGCTCATCCTGACAGACAAAAACAGATTCACTTGTGCAGTATGTTTACTGTTTACATGCACATTAAAAAAACAGGTTATGCAGCCTGACTTATTTATTTTAAGTGTAGAACTGCTTCCTGATTTTTAAAATGTATTTATTTGTGTGTGTGTGTGTGTGTGTGTGTGTGTGTGTGTCTAATATGTATATAGCTCTGTTTTTGTGTCTTTAGCTGCTAAAAGCTCGGCTGTGTTCAACCAGCTAGTTGCTAACTGCGTCTGTCTGGTATTTGGTGCAGAGCAGGTAGTGTACAGAGGGTTTTTAGCGCTTTTGTATGAAAAACAGTTGCCTGCTGTCTTCAAATATGATGCTACAATTATGAAGTGAGCAGTGAGAGTGAACCAAAACAATAAAGTTGCCTCAAATTCTTGATAATTATCTGTAGATTTGTCATTATGAGCGACTCCTTTCACATCACGTCATGTGATCCATTATAAAAAAGTATGATTGCAGCTTCGAGTGCGTGTAAATGCATCAACTGTGTATCCAAAGCATCTCACCTCCATGACTCCGTCCAGCAACCTGCCCAGCATATCTCTCCTTTTGAGTTTTGCTCTCTCCATGGCTTCCAGCTTCACAATTACAGCATCTATCTTAGATACTATGCTGCCAATAGAGTGCTCCATCCTGTCCACGCGTCTCACCAGCCTGAGAAACAAAGACGATTAGTTCCCATATTATACTACATGTTAAATGTGTCATACTACTACAGTCATAATCATTCAGATTAGTTTTAAACTACGGGGAGACCTCAAAGTGGAGCCTGACTGATTCTGTTGTGAAATCACTCACATGAAACAGCGACAGAGAATACCAGTATCAGAGCCCCTTCCTCCACATGACATGTCCTGAGGCTGCCTTACATTTTATTCATCATTCATCAACTTTCATTCACCTGCATGTAAGATACAGAATAAAAGCCATAAAAACTCCATACACTTGAAACTCTTCGTAGGAGACGCCCCCAGAGCTGCTGCCGCGACGACGAGAGCTGTGGCCGCTATCCTCGTCATCGTCTTCCTCCGAGTCGTCCTGGGTACGAGGGAAGCTCCGCCCACTGCTGGGTCTAGTCAGCGAATTGCGTTCCAGATCCAAGTCCTCCTAGCATACGAGCAGAAACACACTGAACATCTGCAGGTGTCGTGGCTGAGAGGACGCAATTACCAAAACCATCAACTTTTGTTTAACCAGTGGAACGAGCTGGCATCGTCACTCACTCTCTCTTTCTCCAGGTCATCTCTCATTTGCTGGTGTTCATGCTCCGTCAGCTCCTGGTCACCATCGTGATCGTACTTGGCAAAGATGGCCTGAATCTCTGCATCTGTGTGGCCCTTTCTGAGCGAAGAAAACATCAAAACACGCTCAGGACACGTCACGTGAATTTGATATTCACAAAACACAAACACTGAAGTAATATTTCAAGGCTTTCTGCATCATTTGAGGTTTTGTTCACCCTTTAAGATCCTGCCGGAGTTCGTCAAGGTTCAGTTTGCCCCCGGCCTGACGCAAACTGTCGGAGATGTCGTCTACTGCCGTCTTCTTCAGTCTCATCTTCATCAAAGCTTTATTACAACCCTGAGGGAGAGAAATTACATTTGGACTTACCTAAACACGTCAGTTGCATAATGTTGTTATGTGATAACAGACAAGCTCAGACAAGGAAAGAAACACATACTTTACATTACAACACAATTTGTCTCCTAATCGTACAGTACATGCACTATACTGTAGTTCCACCATTGTTTCTCAACAAGAAAAGCCTGATAAACTCTGTGATTAGCTCACAGAAAATACCAGTTACAGCCAATGCCCCATTTCTGCCTTCTACTCTTTACCTTGCATTCCTGCTATGGTTCAGAAAGAGGTTAAGATGTGCAAGACATCGTCTGTCAGAGCTTTTAGACTGGGACCCACTGCAGCGAGGCCTGATATCTAGTGTAGGTTATACAGTTCAAGTCAAGAAAGGGTCTCCCATTCAATGAGTCCATCTAGGGAGCAACGGCCATCAGGGTTTGGAACTGAAATTTTAGACATGTACATGTATTATACATGGTTCATTACAGGTATTACAGAATAAGGTAATACACAAACTACACTAGCAAAGATGTTCCCTAGATCAGATACTACCTCACACTGTATCACATGTCTGGAGGTGACAACCTTTAGTACCATCCTGCTGTGCTACCCGAAACAATCAGAGTTTCCAGCAGTGATTCATAGTGAAGGCACTCCACTGACTCCTTTCTTAAGGGAAACTCTGAGTCATCCTCCTCTTATTTGTTTCAAACACCTCATCTTATCTCTAAAAATACACAACCAGAGCCAGAAATTGCTATATTTGGAGTAGCTTCTGGAGAAAAAGCACTTTCCGACATACACCCTGGTGTGCTCTTCGCTTTTTCCGACGTTATTGGCAGCGTTGATTTATTGGAGATAGACAAAATAATTAATACTTGTAGTTAAATACCTTCTTAATGAGGTCAGTCATTTCCATCTCAGACCTCTGCTGGGACATGTCAGCCTTTACCTCAGAGTACGTGTCATTGATGATGGCAAGGAACATGTTCTTTACAGAAAGAAAGAGAAAAGGTATATTCATGTTA